TATTGTTCTTGTTTGTTGGCTTTAGGAAACCTCTTCTATGATGCCCCATCTTGTCATAATCGTAACAGACAATACTACCAACCATAGGTTGACAAACTCTGTTCAAATTTGTATTATTGCTGGTAATACAAGTACTAGTTTTTCTTCCACCTTCTTTCATTAAAACAGTAGGCACATTTCACCATATTCTCTCCGATGGATATACCAACTCGGAGTCAAATTGTGAACCTCATCAAACGTCAATTTTCTTTATTTGAAAAACTATAATAGCAGTAACAACAGCACTCCAATTATTAAGCAATGATGATAATGGAATTAAAGCATGTATTGCATCGACAAAATTAAACTCAATTGAACTCAATTTATTGATGATCACATTGAATTTGTCAATACGCTTAGCAACCATCGTAGCTTCACCCATCATTAAGTAAAGTATATGTTGCATCAAGTAAACTTTTTTAATGGCAGAGAGCTTCTCGTACATGTTCGATAAGGAATGTATTTCTGTAGTGATTTTCTCTTTGACAATGTTAAATGACATTACGAGCCAACATTTGTTGACTTATACCCAACGCTTATCAATCCAATAAATCACACTCAGCTTGCTTCATCAATTGTGGCTGCTTCCCATACAGAGGCAAGTGAGGATTTCTTTGATAAAGTAATCTTCAATCTGTATCTTCCAAAAATTGTAATCTTGCTCATAAAACCTGTTGATTTTCACATTTCTTTCTTTAAGTCGCCAACGATTCGCTTAATCTCATCCTAACTTAGCTCCGATATCATTTGCTAGGTCGTGCAGTAAAAGCTTGATACCCTTACATGGGAGATCACCGAGATGAAGCTTAAGTCCGAGCCCATAAACAAATTCAGTTGGGCATACCTTCACTCAAAAGCTTAAGTCACGAAACCATGATGAAACCTAGGGGTGTGCAAAAAAATCGGGAACCGCCCGGACCAACCGGAACCGGACCGGACTGGCCCGGAACCGGTGGTTCCTAAGGGAATCGGTCCGGTTCCCGGTTCCAATTTATTGGAACCGATGGGTACCGGTCCGGTTCCCGGTTCCAGGTGCGGACCCACCCACCCACCCGCCCACCCGGACCGGTAATATTATAATATATTATCTATTTATTTAAATTTTAATTACAAAAAAATAGAAACCCTAAATCACTAAATGCTCAATACCCTCCCCTCACTCTCGCACAGTCGCACTTCTGGAATCTTCATCAACAGAGAAACACTCTCTCACTCTCATTGTCTCCACTCCGACGCTCCATCTCGGCCTCGACTCACGGCCTCACTCTCTCACTCTTCTCGATCAATACTCTCTCGTCTCAAGCTCTCACCATCTCGTTCGCATCGTCTCCGTCTCCAATACTCCGTTCACAACGCTCTGTCTCGGACGCTCCGTTCACGACGCTCCATCTCCGACGCCCTATTCACGGCGCTCCATCTCGGCCTCAACTCACGGCCTCAACTGTGGACTCCCACACGGCCGCGCCCTCTCAGTCGCCTCAATTGGCTAATTGCTGTAAGTTTGAATCCCTAATTTTTAATCTACTCGCTAAATCCCTTTGTCTCTTAAGTTGTTTGCATGATGCTATGACGACAACATGAGCTGCCTTTTTAATATTGACCGTTCTTACTCTTCTCCTTTGGCATTGACGGAGCATGTTTTTTAGCTACTATAACTTAACATGTTGTCATTCTGTTTCTGTTTATCTCAACATTTTACCTGATTAGACACATTCATCCGACACAACTTTGCTAGCTCAATGCCTACATTAATAGCAGATGCTGATTTTTCTGTTGAACGGAGCCTTTCTTTTACTGCCGGAGTTTTATGTGCGAAGGCTGTGTCGCTTAATGCATATCTAATAGGAGATCGACATCCTACAAATGCTTTTCTCAACTATTGCATTATGCTTTTATGTCAATTACATAACGGGATAGTTGTCAATATACACATGTGGGCTCGTAAATTCTGATGCTGGTGTGCTGGTCAGAAAGCATGTAAAGTTCATGTTCTGGGCTATTTATCCGTGATTTTACTTTTGGATATGGTCTTTTAAGGGATGAAAAAAGAAGGAAATTCCTACATTTACATACCTGGTGCAAAGTAGAAAAAGGGTGGTTTGTCACCGATGTGCACGTGCAGTGCTACTAGCACATGGTAGTTTAACTGGTAGTTCAACTTGAGACCGGTTCCATGGACCCGCCCAAGAACCGGACCGGACCGGCGGTCCGGTTCTCGGGCAGGTCCATGGAACCGACGGGCGGTTCTCGATTCCAATTGTTGGAACCGGTCCTGTAACGGGCGGTCCATGGTTCCGGGGTGGGAACCACCCACCCGGACCATGCACACCCCTAATGAAACCAACTTCATTGAGACTCATATACCACAAAGGAGTCGTACTGTGTGCTTCACATATGTACATGCACCCGCATACTTTGACATGGGTCAAGCTTTGTATAATGGACTTAAACTTGAGACACATTTTAACAGGGGGCACTCGTAAAGAAGACCTTTCTCTTGTAAAAGATCTTTCAAATTAAACTTGATAACCGCTTTACCAAACAGTCTCTCTTTCTACAATAATATATTGAATGTTACCAAAAGCATCAACACCGAATTTGGGGAGAATGACACTAGAAGTATCAAAAGTTGTGTACAGCGCTCACTTCAGTACCGAAAGTTTTCGTCGGACGGGATTGGGATAGTCCTCAAAGGGCTGGGGCTTCTGGTCACGGTCGAGGTCATGAAGGAGTGAATTGATTTTCTTCACAAATGGGGCTGATGATTGAGGACATCAATAATTATCCTCTCGTCCTAGGTTGCAACGTGAAAAAGAACATGATTCCGGTGCTTGATTTGCTTCTAGGCCCTAACTTAGCCTCAATTGTCAATTTGGGGAAAAAAATGGCAATCGAACTCAAAACGACTGTCTTTGTGTTGACTTTGTCCATCGCTCACTCTCTCTCTCCCCCGCTTGTCCATGGCCTTGTTCAAGCTCTGGCCTTCTTCCATAAAATCTATTACTCTATAGTCCTCTATTTTTTCTTTTGTTGTTTGAGCTGGCAGTCCATGGCCATCTTCCATCAAATCTATTCCTCTGTGTTATTCTCAATTTCATATTCAAGTCTCACAAAACAAAAGCGATGTAAATGAATCTAGGGTTCCTATTATGATTTGAACATGTGATGAACACTTCAGCTAATAGATTCAAGCAACTCTCTCAACTATATTTCACAACTTCATGAAGACATTTCAATGAACAGTCAGCGTGCAAAGAGATTATTAGATCTCGTTATGAAATCGAAATTATTTTCCATCTAAAATCAATATTTAGAACAACAATGCCGTCACCAATCAACAACTAACAACCCAGATTTTCAGTGATTTACGCATGGGTTTCGTGGACGGAAATTGGTCTCACATTTATCCACAATAAGGCAGGAAAAAGAGGAATGAAATTACCTTGTCGAGAAGGGGTTCTTGGTTGCGCTTACCGGTCAAGCTACACGAGGAGCTACAGTTGGTTAAGGGAAAATTCCAAAAAAGCACCCGAAGTGGGGTCATTTTCTCAAAAAAGGGCCCGAAGTGAACATTGTCTTAAATAAGTGCCTGAAGTGGCCAAATCGTCTCAAAAAAAGACCTTTGGCCGGCCGGTGACTATTCCATCGCCGGAGAAGGGGTATTTTAGTCAAAAACATTATAAGCATATTTTTTTTGTTTTTTTTTTACTTTCTTTTTCTTTTCCTTTTTCTTTTTTCTTTTTTACTTCTTCCCTCCCAGCCTTCACTGCGCCTGGTCAGCGACCTCCGTCGGCCTCAGGCGAGGCTGCCCTCATCAGCGTTGGGTGAGGGCTGCCCTCGCCTGGGCTAGCGAGGGTCGCCTTGCCTGGGCTGGCCTTGCCCTCGCCGGCGTTAGGCGAGGGTTGCCTTGCCTGGGCTGGCCTCGCCCTCGCCCGACGTCGGCAAGGGCAAGCCTCGCGAGCCCATGAGAGGGCGGCCTTCGCCTGCCCCAGCGATGGCCGACGAAGGGAAGAGAGGAAAAAAAATAAAGAAAAGGAAAAGGAAAAGAAAAAAAAACATAAAAGGGAAAAAAAAAGAAAAAAAATTCGAAAAAGTAAAAGCCGAAAATACCCTTTGGTCGGTGAGGTCAAGTCCTTATTTGAGACCGATGTGGCTACTTCATGCCCTTATTTGAGACAAGATTCACTTTAGGCCCTTATTTGATACAAGGTCCACTTCATGCCCTTATTTGAGAAAATGACTCCACTTCAGATCCCTTTTTGGAATTTTCCCGTGGGTTGATGCTGCTGGTTTTTGCTTGCATCAACACGTGTTTGTGCAGCTGATGCAAGCACAAAACTGCGCCATCACTTATTTATGTTAGTGCGTGCTTGACACTAAAATGATCACTTTTTAACAATGATTAGCACTAAAATGATCATTTTTTATCAACGATTGGCACCGAAATGATCACTTTAAAAAAAATTGGCACTTAAACAATTATTGTTTATAACTTTTAGACAACGTTATTTAGGGATTATATGCTGATTGGGCATGCCAACGAGCTATGTAGGATTGAGAAATTAAAAAAATTTGGCCACATCGGATTTCCGGCGATCTAAATCGGAGTTGGCACTTAAGTGATCGCTCTTTTTTTAAGTGGCACTTAAGTGATACGACAAAAAGATTTTGGTATTAAAATGAGCGTGGTACATAACTTTTGGCACTTTTACTTTTTCTCCTAGCGTAAAATCTCGCGCCAAAAGACTCACCATACTAGTGGAGAATATGGAAGTAGTCACTACAGCTCAAATTCAGCACTTTTGGCTTGAAGATGACGATTGGATCAATAAACAATCAGCAAAATGCTCGTCCTCATTCAACGATTGAGGAAAAAAGAAAAGTTTCCAACACTAGTACCACGGAAATGCCCCCCAAATCTGACTTTGCGAAAAAGTAAAGAAAGGCAGGACAAAAAATAATTATAAAATTATCAACACAAGCAATAATAGCATCAGATACTAAATACGAACCCTTCCACAAGTTGGGTCCCACGGAGATTAATTCTACTAAACTCAAAAAATTATTTCCAAGTACAACAACTTTAGAGTTTCTTTCTCCACCAATTAGAGAATTAATTTAAAAAGAGAGAGTAGCCAAAAAAATATAAAAAAAAAAGTGGGAAAAGAAAGAAAGAAAGAATGAAGAGCCGGGTGCTGACCACAATAATTTAAACGAGATAACTCGACCGTGTGACAAGTGAGAGAGCCGATTAATCGGTTAATCAACATCGATTATGATAGGGGAAATGACACTAATCACATTTCTTTTCCCAAGTTAATTAATTTGGTCGTGGCGATTAATTAACTGTCGCTGCTTCTGCCATAGTGAAGCACCATGAGATGATCCACGGCGGCAGTAGACTCAGGAAGCATAGTCACAGCCTGATCTCTCTGGCCGATGCTCCAAATCTGGTCCCTCACATGCTGCAACGTCAAGCTCGGCAACAAATTTTGCCCTCTACATGTTATCTCGACCTGCTTCATTGATTCAAAACAAAGCAACACAAAATGAATAAGGTCCCGTCGTGAGCGCAATGCGCATAGTTAGGATTTCGGGAGAGTTTATGTGAACCGGAGTTTGGTGAAGGAAAGCAGGCAAAGACTTATATGATTGAAATAGCCAAAGTTATCAACGAAAGATTTCCGAAAATATCAACAAACGAATCGATCATCGACCCAAAAAAGCACAAGCGCACGCACGCACGCAAATCGATCGAAATGTTTGAATGGCAAGCAATGTGTTTCATCATCATACGCTTTCATGGGTTATATCTCAGCTCAGAACACATCCTTGTAACGTCTACTTTAACCCTACTACACCTCTCTCTCTCTCTCTGCCCAAGAAAATTAGGCTTGAGAAAGAAAAGAAAAAAAAAGAGGGGCAGCGGTCAGCCGCTGAAACCGACCGGATTGGGGCTGCCCAGCCACCCCACGATCAAAACCTGCCCGAGTTTAATCATTTGCATCGGACCCACCTAAGACTTTGCTCCTAAGCCATTAAAAAAAAAAAGAAACATTAAATCATGATCCCCTCCCCAGACTTCCACTACAACGTAAACAAAATACCAAGATTTCCTTAATCTTTTCGGCATTATTATCAGTAATATCTTTGAAAAGAAAAGAGGACCAGATAGCACGGCGACGAATAAGCCCTCATAATCAAAATCCCTTTACCTACTTGCATGTAGACATCTACACTCACACAAACATATTCTATCCACCTCATCTCATGCACGTCTTCTTCACGTTGCTTTCTCATCTATTCCTTTTTCCTTCTTCAATAGCCCTAGAGTGACCTAAGTTTAATACCATAATCGATAGTCGCTCATACGAACCACACCATCTCAAGATTGTTCGCATAAAATAATGGACATCATGCTTTGATTAGAGTCGTCACTCAGCGAGTAATAATGACCCTTTAATTATGAATATTGAACCTACCCTTCTGCAGATTTTATATCTGTGCATGCATTCCATTCAAGGGGCTTATTATATTGTGGTGGAGAGGTCCATTTGTCTTGCCTAGCTTTATTTTTTGTATCTTTCTCAGCATGTTGGAATGATTCTGCTGTTGAATCATCCCTCATGCATTGCTTTCCTCCGACGTCAATTCTTTAAAAGGAGAAAAGGAATTCTCATCCTTTTTCCCTTTGGCTCATCCCCACTTTGCCCCTGGGTGGGGCCTCCTGTGATCCCATCGAAGCGCACCACTATTGGGGGGTTTCTTGATGGGGATTTGTTCTAAGCACCAAGGGGCAAAGAAGAAGAACAGGGTTTGCAAAGGGACCCACATGAGGCATGTGTAAGCTGAGGTCAAAGAAGCGAAAGCATGACGAAATTAAAAGGAATTTGGGAAGTATTCATTTGAGACGTAATGAAAGGGAGAGTAAAGAATAAAGAAAGGAAGAAGGGTTGAGGATGACAGGGGTCCACGTGTGATCTTTGAGGCCCTACGATGGGATTTGGACGTGCTTATTCTCCTACTTTCGATTTTCTTTTTGCTGTTCATGAGTGTCAACTACGGCCAGAATCGATCGTCCCAAGTCGATGATGTTTTTTTTTATACATGTTAAAGTCAATGCTCTTTCAGAGGGAGAGGAGAAAAGGGTTAAATAAAAGGGAAGAGGAGGAAAAAGAAAAAGTTAATAGGAAAACGATCCTTGCCTTCCCACCAATCAATCACATCAACCCTTCTTTTCGTTGTATTGATGATTCCCCCAGACTTTCATTCATGCGCACGTAAACGTACTCTAAGTGCTGCGACCATATTCTGCCCAATCATCACTAAGAGATACCCCGCAATAATGCCGACCATGGTATGAACAGAAAGTTAAAAAGTCTATGGTAGGACTCTGTGAGAACCTACTTGTCATTCTTAACCTAAATACAATCAACTACTTCTTGAGCTAGATTGAATTGATTTTGCAGAATCTACCGGATTGAACCTCAAACCACCAAAAAAAAAAATCATAAATCTTCACATGATTTTGAGTTATGACTAGACAAAATTCATTGCTCTAACTATTCGAACGAACATAATTGGTTTAATGAAAGTTTCCACAAATTCAGCCTCTATTATATTAGAAGCGTTCTATACCAATGAGCTACTAATAATATAGTTTAGTTGCATGCCATCAGTGAAGGTTGAAAGTTAGAAGTTCAATATTTTGGCCGGCAGCTAGTTGGTTTCTATATATATGTATATAATAAGTCGGCAATGTTTCCACATTAGTATATAACTCAATTCACAAAACAACATGACCCGCATTATAGATGATTGGATACGTATTGTGTGTCATCACGCTGGCAATGGTGCCAAGATTGTACTAAGAAAATGCCAAATAATTGGCACGTATGTTTGACCCTGACAACTTAATCAGCCCGATAGAGCCTCAGACAGAACAACCAAAGAGAATGTTGAGAGCAATAAAAAAAATGTTTTTTTATATTCTATGTGATAGATGACAGTTATGTGAAGATTACGTGTATGGGTGTTAGGTGAGAAAGAGAGGGAGAGGGAGAGAGAGAGAGGAGATGGGTTTGTATGGTTCTTATTCTGGGCGGTTGCACCATATAGTTATTTTCCATCCGGACGTGATTAATAAACAAAACTAGAAAATTAGCTAAGGAAGTGTCATGTCCTTAGTTCATGGGCATGTAATGCAACAAAAGACAAAGACCCACGAGAGAGAGAGAGAGAGAGAGAGAGAGAGAGAGAGAGAGAGAGAGAGAGAGAGAACAAGATCATATGCATCCGAATCACGGTACTAGGGTTGACTTCAACCACAACATATACAAATCATGTGGTTTTTTTTATAATGCCCGAGGGAATGTGTTAGTAGGTGACACAAGACCCAACAACAACGCAATCGATATTTTTTATGTGCATGATGTATGTGGGTGAAAAATGGAATAGAAGAGAGAAAATATAATCTTTGTATATATGATTTAAAACATTTATAATTCTTTGTTTTTTTCCCTCCATAAGAAAGTTGAAGTTTTGGGTTTTTTTTGGCTTATGTGCGTGACTAATAATTTGATAATTTCAAAAGCAAGCGATTTAAGGTACATAGATTCGTGTACAAACAAAGACACAAAATTCAGATTTAGCCTGGAAGCGAAGCAAACTGAATTGGCTTTTTGCGGATTTTATGATCCCTAACTTGTTGATGGGTCTCTTGTCCTCTCCTCAATTATAGTCCAAGCACATCTGGCTTGCTTATAGGGAAACATGAGAATGTTACGTATTTAGAACATATGTGTGAAAAAAAATTCTTATTTTTCTTGTCCTGTGGAGGAAATTTTTCAGGTGTGTATTATATGCTCAGAATCTGTAAGAGAAACTATAACCAATATAGCTGAAATATATTTCTCTGATTTATATATCTCATTAGATGGATGAGACTTTCAACGCTCTCCTCTAGTGATGAATCTCAGAGGACGGTGCCCTGGCTAAGCTGAGACTCCATTTTTAAGCCTAACAGAATGAAATCTTCAAATATTTAAGGTTATCTTCCTCATGAAACCTCTAGTAAATAGAATTAAAACCTAGATTTATCAGAATACATTCCTCTAAATTGAACTACGTTCGGGAAGTCTAAAAAAAAACTTATGTATGGTATCCAAGCCTAAGGCTCAAAACTCTACATCCTTGAATAAATAAACAATATCACATGAAGCATGCTAATTTTGATGATCAGGGTATCATGTATCTATAAGCGCCTTTTAAAAGAAGCAGGCATTATTCGGAATGTATTACATAATCATTATATATTATTGCGCACATTTTGATCATAGATCCTCATCTTCGTTAAGCACCTTTAAAAGAAGTATGCACAATAATTTGGAATGTATGACATGATTTAGTGTGCCCGAGACGCATTGTAATGCACAAATAGACGCACACCTATCTACTCAATTCTCGAATGATTGGTTTTTCCATCTCGGGCAAACATTATTGGCCTTGTAGAACTACGTTTTTCTAGTAATGATTGTTCCTTAAAATTACTTGGAAAAACCATCATTGGATCCCTTCATTACACTAGTGACAAGTTCTCATTTTCCCACAAAAACTCCCAACGTCCTCGCAGATAATCTCATTAAAAGCAATGAGAAAAACATATACGAGAGGTGGCTGTAAGTTCGATATAAACTTAGGACTCTAAGACACCTTCTTCCCAAGGATCAAGCAACAACAGATGCTATCAAGATTTCATACACATCCATCGAACGGTGATGATGATTGATCGATAATGATGAAGACAAGAACCCTAGAACTCAGTTGTGCTTTGTCTTGACCCAAAAGTGGAGAAGGTAAATTTTAAAAAAGGAAAAGACGGGGCAAAAAGAGAGAGACCCCATTATATTATCAAGGAACCACATACAGCAGCACATGTTATTATGAGTCATATATACGATTAAATAAAGTAGTGGCTTGTTTTTCTTATTTTGTATATATTTTCTTGAATTAGTTTCTTTTTGCCCATAGAAGGGAGTTGGGGCGTGCTTTCTCCTGTTTCTAATGCAAGGCATGTCGAATGATTGAAACATTACTGTCACTAGTGTATGTGGGTTAATACAGTGAGGCATTCGCTCAAAGAATGAGAGCTACGTTTCTTCCCATTTCACATTTTTTGGTGGTAGGTGCTTTTCTGAGCTATCGGACATTCCTCTTCGAAACCCTACGCACAGTAATCCTTTCACTAATCAGCACTCTCACGACCATTCCATAGACTCATCTAATCTCTTAATTAGTCCAGAAATAGTTGAGTTTGATCTCTTATTCTCAACATGACCCATCGATGAATGACTTCGAAAGCTAATAAGAACAAAACGAGAAGACGACTGGACTCTCGGACATGTACTTCCCACCTAAATATGGTGGTGACAGATCAAGAGAGAAATTATTTGGACCAGAGAAGATTAACTTAGTTATTCTATGTTTGTCAAGTTTCAAACACCAACCACTTTTGCTAATTTGGGTTATTTTGGACAAATATTACCAAGTATTAATGGAAAGATTAAAACGCACCCTTGGCATACATGTTTCCACTCAACAAAAGAAGAAGAAAAAAGGAGCATTTCAATGCAAGAATTTAACACACAAAAAAAAATGCAAGAATTGAACTAATGTAATAAACAGCATTTTTCTTAGAGTTTCTTCCTTAAATAGCAGCATTTCTAAGAAGAACAAAGCCATAAGTGCAAGAATGTGATGGTTTTAATTTGACATACCTCTGATTCGCTATCGAGTCTCAGCTTGTTGACCAAATACTTCATTATTAATCTTACGGTCATCCTTCCGTCTCTTCATGTTTGAGAAAAGTAAAACGAATTAACCATTGACCAAAACTCCACAATAATGCAGGAACTCCAATAGAAACTAACGAGGCGAACAAGAACAGCTAGATGAATTTCAAGAACAATTGAAGAGCCAAGACGGTTTTAGTATTTACTTGATTCTCAGGTAGCTCTTAGGTATTTGAGGCAAGAACGGTTCTTTTGCCCTGCATTCGAGAAAAAAATGAAAACTATATTACAAATAAAATCATCGTTGGGTGAAAACTGAGGGTCGATCAAGACTCGAATGGGACTACATCATTTCTACGAATATGAAATACTTACTGGTTTTGGGATGCTTGAAGCATAAACCAAATCCCAGAATGGGGTCTTCTCGGGGGATCGATGATCCTAATGTCCGAGCTTGGCCCCGCCATGTCCACTCCCATTTGTAGCTGATATGGTCGCGCGAAGTATGGTCTGAGCGGCATCAAAGATAAAGAGGAGGATGACGGCAACGGCAAGGACGACGGAGAAGCTGCGAGGCTTTGTGGGTACGAATAAGGAGGCCTAAATGCCCAGTTAATCTCTTGGTGATGAGGGAAATTAGTAGAGCTACTTCCGCCAACCGGGTGGTGAAAATAGCTAAACGATGACGCACTAAAACTAGTTGCCGCACTTGTGAAATTCGTCGGCGGCGTTCTAGGAGACGGATTGAGTTCAGCCTTAGGGACAGCGAGGGCCGGGGTTAATGGCGATGGCCCCGTTCGTTGCAAACTTCCGCCGGATAGCAGATCAAGCTCGACGAGTCCGGTGCCTCTTTTGACACTCAAATCTGTCCGGTCGTGGTTCTCGCCCCGTGTGGCAATCGTGGTCGAGACGTGACCGCCGCCTATACTCAACTGTAGCCAACCCTCATCGTCCTTGTGGTTGTCGTGACGAGCCACATCCTTTGAGGTAGAGGCTGCTGCTTCATTGAGACTGCTTGTGATTCTTGATTCGTCCTCGGCCATTGTTGTCGGACCAATCACCAGATCAGATCCTCCTATGCAAGTAATTTCACCGGAAAAATCATGTGACCTGGCGTCGGCTCGGCTCATAACCCTGCAACTAGCTGTGTAATTGCTACCGATTGTGTCACAACAATCAGCATAACCAAAGAAGCTGCTGCAAATTTGTCGATGACGGTGGTGGTGTTTGTCAGAGAGGCTTTGAGCAGGAACCATGGTCATATTGGAGAAGCCGAGAGTGACCCAGTGGAGCACGAGCCTGTTCCGCAACGGGCAAACTTCGTCTCGCTGTTCTTGATCTCACGGTGAGCCATGGGGTTGAGGATTCTTGAATCTGCAATTTGTGAAATGGCAAGGAGGGAGGTGTTTGTGGTTCACCAAAAGCATGTCTTCTGGGGACTGTCAAAATCGAAGGAGGGATCAAGAATAGGGCTGATTGAGCAGATAAGAGTGATTGCTTGCTGTTTCATCGTGGACTTATCAGAGGACAACAAAGAGAATAAAACTTGCAATGAATCTCCCTTTCCATCAATTCTCTCTTGGTTTGGAAGTTTGTGGAGAGGAGAGAGGGAGAGAGAGAGGGAGATGGTGGTCAGTGAGTTAAATTGAATATTAATTAACAAGTACATTGTCATTTATATGTTCCTAAGGGTGGTGGAAGGTTAGTAATATAAAGTTCTTGACTTTATTCAGACGGAAAGAAAATGTTCCACCTGTATTAAATAGGAGAAAAACTATATCTGGGGAGGCTCCAGCTAATGGCTTAAGTAGGGCTAAATCCCAAGAGATCAAAATTACCTTTTGAGGTTCTTGCTTTTTGGAATATCACGAAAAGGTCCTTTTTAGCCCTAAATGACAATCCTTTTTTGAGAAGTAGAGCTCCTGCTTTTTTACCTTAGAAACACGCTTTAATTATGATATCACTATGTGCCTTTCGAATTCAAGAAACTAGGTGGACAAATTCCTTTTTTCTTGGAAAAAGCACCAAAAAATAAAGTCAAAAACTTATTGCGTTTGTGCCAATTCAGGCGTAACCCTTTCAATTGTGCCAATTTAAACTAAATATTTTCATAATTTGACAATTAAGTCCTTCAATTGGCCAGAAATCGCTGACGTAAAGGTCGTTGTCCTACGTGGCATGGCCGGCGCCGACGTGGACAATTTTTACAATTAAAAAAAATTAATTTTTCTTTTATTCTTTCATTCTTTCTTTTTTTTCCTTTCATTTTGGCCGCCAAGCCCTCACCAGATTTTGAGCGAGGCCTTCACCCCCCATTTTGGCCGCGGGCCTGAGCGCAAAGGCCCTCGCCAGATTTGGGTGAGGGCCACCTCGCCCGTGGCTAGTAAGGTTGTGTTGGCCTCAAGCCTTCTTGCCCTCGTTTTTGCGGCCTCGCCAAATGCAAGCGAGGGCAGCGACCCTTGCTAGTGGCTGACGAGGGCTTGCTGGCCCTCGCCCAGCGACCAACTACCCTCGCTGACAAAAATGAAAGGAAAATTATAGAAAGAAAAAAGCCACAAAAAAAAAAGAACGAAAAGAAAAGAAATTATAAAAAAATCCAAAAAATTATTACAAAATGTCCATGTCAGTGTCGGCCTAGCCACATAGAATGATTGACATTCACGTCAGCGATTTCCATTTAAAATTGATCGGATAAACTCAATTGGTAAAATGTGAAAATATTAAAGACTAAATTGGCATAATTGAAAAATTTAAGACTGAATTAGTACATTTCTCCTTTTCTCTTGTGTGGGCTTAAATGCTATGGCTCTACAAAAAATTTCCGACCTTGGATATGGAACTCCTATAACACTGCCGCTTTGTTGGTTGTCCATTCCCACCTTTTTTAATCAGCAGAAAAGAACTCGTATCTCAAACAACCAAAATTCCGTAAGCTCACGAAATGCAATTTTCGTTACACCGAAACCCCTTATTGGGTCCTATAAACGGGGGGGGGGGGGGGGGAGGTGCTCATTCAGTCAAAAACCATCGAGTGCCCTCTACTTCAAGTCTCGCATAGAGATCGAACATCACTGATCAATGTGTCTTCTAAGATCAAGCTCCAAGCTGCACAACTCAAATCGAATTGCTCTGTCGGATCTCCAAGGCCCAAGCAATCTCTCACCGAATCGAGTTAATTGAATCTCTGCACGATCAAGCTCCAAGTCCGATCGATCTTCATCAAGAACACAGAGCTTTGAGCAATCAGGACTTCATTCAAGAACTTCCTATTTGAGTCAAGATCCCACCATCGAGGGAATTGGATTGTTTAAGAAGGAAAACAGTTTCGTCCGCATAAATTCGATATTTAATAAAGTCCGACATGATATTTTCTAACCCTATTTCTAGATTTCTCCTCATTTTTTGCTCGTGTCATGGTGGATAATGGGCGGCGTTTATGTTTTGGTACGCTTGTTCCGATGTCTGGATAAAGAAGAAAAGTTGCTTTTATTATGACATGAAAATGGGAATAAAGTATGGGCGTAACCTTAGGAGTTACAGTCAACTGACAAAGTGATTTATTTATAGCATTTGGAATGGGCGTGCTTTTTCTCTTGATACCTTAAACATAATTTTTACTTAGCTGCTCTCTATTGGAAGAGAGTAATGCTATGACAAGTTAGAAATGAGCTTTGCAAGAAAAAGAGTTCATACTTAAATCTTATGTGAATTTATTATTTAACTTAAAATTTATGCTTCGACTTAATTAAAAGAGAAAAAGAATACTAGAATTACGAGAACATCGTAAATAAATCCGTGTGTTATTATTTGAATTATGTGAAGTTTTCGAGTGTTTCGGGTGTTAGAAAGGTAAAAAGAGAACGTGAATTGCAAGATATTAATCAGAAAAGGTGAAAAATAGTAAAATGCAATCCGGCCATATCCTTATTTTGTAAGGATTTTGCCAACAAATGCCTTGGAGCACAGTCAAACACTCGATTAAGGAAAATTTAAATCGAGTATGCTTGATAATTGCTCAAGGTACACTTGCTAACATGACGCCTTTTCATAAAGGAAAATATCAAAGAGTGTTCCTAAGGATTAACTCATCCATTGAAATGTTAATATATCTATTTGAAGCGCGTTACTTTTTTGGAACTTATGCCCTTTCAAATTTCAAAATGCGTTTATATAGGTTATTGCTAATTCTAGTAATTTTAACCGGTACAAGAGCCACTCGTTAACAATACTCTTTTATAAATCCTAACTTTTTGCACAAACTCACACTATTCATCAGGAAAAGACAGGGCCCTTATGTCTGACCTCTGCAAGATGACACACTTGCCTGGCATTAATTAACACAGTTAACTAATCAATTAATTAAGGATATTAATTGAAGCACTTACAACAAGGTAGGTTATTTAATCGGGTGATTATAAACAAATTAATGGGGCGGGACTTTGGCATGCATGATGGTGTTTCCCCATAATTACGAGAACCAAAACACTGCGACGTGGGACTTCTTTGGACATTCGCTTCCACAGCATGTGCCTCCCACCCTCCCTGCAACACCTATACGGACTCTGCATTGTGTATATATATATAAAAACAGATATGAATATATATATAAGTTCAGATATATGTGTACATATATATTTGTGGATAGGTTACATGTGTATTGAATGTAAATGATGCCCCTTCATTCTTTCTCCTCTCAATCTTTCTCCATGAAAATTATTGAAAAATTAGCCTTCTAGGGTTGAGGTAGCTGGTCGGGCATGAGAGAACTTTCAATTCATAAACTAGAGATCATATGTTTATATGTTAGTATCTACGTGTAAATTGCTCTACACGTTAACTGTTCAAAACACATCACTCTTAAAAAAAAACGGTTGTGTTTTTCGCATTGTGATTAACTCCGTTCATGACATCAATAGTTTTTACGAAGACACCATATCGAGTATCCATATTCATTATGCAACTGGTGTTCCACCCAATTTCAAAAGGCAACGATGTTCACATTTAAAACTTGTTATGAATATTATATACTTTGATCGTCTCCGTTGGCCCTTCTCTGCTATCGTGTACACAATATTCGTTTTTTCAGTTAGAAAATTTTTGCAATGTCGAGGGAGTTAATGATATTCCACAAACTGATGACTTCCTGAAAAGCTGACCCTCTTTCCAGCCCATACCAGACATGCGCTCTCTCTCGTCAAGGCGACTTTTCATGGAGAGGTCAATCACTGAACTCTCCAACAACTGAAGTCTGAAAGGTGTCTAAGACAGGTTTAGACCATGATGTGCCACTGAGTACAGACTGAGATATATTATCTTTATTAGGGTCGACCTAAGAATAAACTTACCCAATACACTAAACGAAAGGGATTAGAGTTTTGTTTCGTTTTGAACACGATCCATTCGTTTAAAGCTTTGCGTTTAGCTTACCGCATCATTTTATATACTTGTTACATTAAAATAACCTTCATGTAGACATAGTTGGATCAAATGAAACAAATATATCTTCTCTTCTTCTTTTTTTCATATAGGTGAGTGTTCGAGCGTGATAATCCTCCTTTCCCACACACTCCAAGTAATGTATCGGAGACACTTTTGTTTGTATTCTTAGGAGCGACCCAAGAGAATGCACAGACACGATGATTCGAACTCAAATCTAGAGCAATTGAGCGAAAAAAATGAATACGCTTAATATTTGAACAACTCCTTGGGGGAGTTCACCCAACGAGCCTGTATTTCTTTCTTAATATATGATGTGTCCCTGGCTGAGATGGGGTTTAGGGTTTTTTATGTATTTCAAGTAGTTTTTAGTGATGTTGCACCATCTTTCAAGTAGCATAATTCTTTTTTTTCCTGACAATTGTTCGATTTATTTCTCACCCGATAGTGCATTATATTTCACTTCTGTTATCTAATCTGGATGGTGTATGGGGAAAAAAAAAAAGAAAGAGGGGGGAAAAAAGAAAAGAAAGTGACAAATGGGGTGATGGCTCTTCTGATAAAGAAGCAGGAGTTTGAAAAAGAGAGGAAGTGGCCCATGAAGGCAGTGCATGGGCATGGAATGACTTAAGCTTGCAAATAAAGCATGGCAAAGAAGGGGACTTTGATGCCGATACTTTTCTACTCAATATTCACCCTCAAGATTCTTGCAAAAGGTACATGTGTGATTGGCTTTCCTCTCTTCTCCCTCCTTAATTACCGCGATTCTAATTAATTAGCACGAATATTAATTGGATCAAGAGGGTGTCGGGATAGACAATACTTAATTTTTCTTGCATTTTTTTTTTGGTAAAGAAATTTTTTCTTGCATTTTCTAGCTCTCTTGAGAGAAAATTGTTGCTCACTGACCGAGCTTATCCTAATTTTATGCGCAGTGTTAAGGTGCGAGCGAAAAAGTGTTTGGTGAAAGAAGTCCTAGATCGGGGATGCAATGTAAGATTGAGCGGTTCATATATCCTACTCAACCCCTACCCATTAATCTAAGCTTTTGAACGAAAGTGATTCCAACCAAATATGTTGATAGGTTCAATCGTGCTCCTTCTTGAGATCTCCCTCTACGAAGGTCAAGCTTCAACTACACGACCCAACAGGTAAAATTCTCCCAACCACCTAACTGACTTGGTTCCTTCTTTC